CTTTCCTTTCCCTGAGGAGACTGGTGAGGCCCCGCCTCCCTTGCCTCTAGTGACTGCACGTCCCTGACCCTGGTGAGATTCGATCTGCCAAACTGCTGGCAACCGGTGATCAGCAGAAGTAGCCTGCAGTACTACACTCTAACTACTGTGTCACCGCAGCTCTTTAAAGTTAATCATTTAAAGTTAAATAAATAAAATAGTGGGAGAAATTAAAACTAGATTAAGAAGACGCCTGAAATGAGGTTTTCCTCAGTCTGCGTCATTAAAAATAACTATTCAAAATTAAAGACATTTAGGATAGCTGTCATTACAGTTGCTGAAATACTTAAATGCTTTTTTTTTACCAGACTTGCATTTATTGGATTTATAAATCATTCACCAGGTTTTTATTATCTTAGAGAAAATTAAATATTAAAAGAAAAGCAGGCATTAAATCGCAATAAGATAATAGCATAAAAAACATCTGAGAGCCAATTGCATAGTCAAGAAGGATCATATGAAAATGGCTGATGATGGTGGCTCACATTAAATCTTATACGATGGTTGTAATAACTGAACCAGTTTGGACTAGTGTTTAAGCACCATGTAGAAACTGGGAGACAGTGGACATAAAGCCAGCTGGGAGCCCTTGGGCCAGACACACTCCCTCAGATCTAAGAAGCAGGAATGGCATACCATTTTTGAAATCTTGTTCCCAAAAGTGCAGGGATGTGTCCAGGAGAGAAGCAACCTGGTATTGAGGAAAAACTTCCTAACAATGAGGACAATTAACCAGTGGAACAGCTTGCATTAAGCACTTGTGGGTGCTTCATCATTGGAGATTTTTAAGAAGAGACTGGACAGTCACTTGTTTGAAATGGTATAGGATATAGGTCGCCATGATGTAGAAAAGATGTGGAGACTCCAGAAAGAGTGCAGAGAAGAGCAACAAAGATGATTAGGGAACTGGAGACTAAAACATATGAAGAACAGTTGCAGAAACTGGGTATGTCTAGTTTAATGAAAAGAAGGACTAGGGGAGATATGATAGCAGTCTTCCAATATCTCAGGGGTTGCTACAAAGAAGAGGGAGTCAAACTATTCTCCAAAGCACTTGAGGGCAGAACAAGAAGCAATGGGTGGAAACTAATCAAGGAGAGAAGCTTAGAACTGAGGAGAAATTTCCTGACAGTTAGAACAAGTAATCAGTGGAACAGCTTGCCTCCAGAAGTTGTGAATGTCTCAACACTGGAAGTCTTTAAGATGATGTTGGATAGCCATTTGTTTGAAATGGTGTAGGGTTTCCTGCCTAGGTAGGAGGTTGAACTAGAAGACCTCCAAGGTCCCTTCCAACTCTGCTATTGTATTGTATTGTAAATCTTAATATAGATTGTTGTTGCAGTTTGACGTTAGGATCTCCTGCTTGAGCAAGGAGCTGGACTAGAAGAATCCAAGGTCCCTTCCAGCTCTATTCTGATTCAATCAACACTAGCTCAAAGGCACAAAAGTAGTGAGCACTACCACAGTAGTGTTACATTCTCAAGCTATTCTCCAAAGCCCCTGAAGGCAGGACAAGAAGCAATGGATGGAAACTAATCAAGGAGAGAAGCAACCTTGAACTAAGGAGACATTTCCTGAACAGTTAGAACAATTAATCCGTGGAACAACTTGCCTCCAGAAGTTGTGAATGCTCCAACATTGGAAATTTTTAAAGAAGGGATTGGACAACCATTTGTCTGAAACGGTATAGGGTTTCCTGCTTGAGCAGCGGGTTGGACTAGAAGATCACCAAGGTCCCTTCCAACTTATCATTCTGGTAAGATGTCATCTTTCTTTCCCTCCCACATCTAAAAGGTGGGATGAACTTGTTAATAAATGTCGAAGACGGCGCCTTAACGAGCCTGCAGCCTTAGACAAACCACCCTCTCACAAAACACTGTAACCCAACCCCTGTGTGGTTGCACAACTACCCGAGACAACCCCGTTCCGCGGAAAAGCAGAACTCAAAGCTTCGCGGGCGGAAGCAGCAGGTCCGGCGGTCATGTGACTCGGCATCATGTGATTCGTGGGGGGGGGGCAGAGAAGCGAAGTGGGAAACGTTGGGAGTTCAATCTGGGTTCCCATGGCTGAGCCGGGCGGTTCATCCCATCTCCGGCGGGAGTCTCCTCGCTTCTTGCTGCTGTTAGCCCCGCTGCTCATCTTCCTCCTGCTCCCCTCCTGGGTCCGGGGCGGTCGCTACGACCCCACCTGGGAGTCTCTGGATTCCCGGCCCCTTCCGCCCTGGTTCGATGAAGCCAAGTTTGGGATTTTCATCCACTGGGGTATTTTTTCCGTGCCAAGTTTCGGCAGCGAGTGGTTTTGGTGAGGTTCCCCTATGCCAGGTCTGCCCTGCGTTTCTTCTGACCTGTCTTCCCTGTTTTATTACCCGCCTCGTTTATCTTGCAAATAGCGTTGTGTGCTGTAGGATTCTTCTCTGCTGTGAAGAGGGGCATAAACGAAGCGGGCATGAGTTGCTCTGAATCTCGTTGCAGTTCTTCCCCCACCCTCCCCATGGGGTAATGTGAGAATTCGGCTCACACCCAAGTGCTTGCCCCCTTCTAATCCTGACCCGAAGCACTCTACAGACTGTCTTGTCTGGAGATTTGGAAATCATGGGTGTTTGCAGAACAGTTTGAAGATTCAGGGAAAGGCACCCATAGGCGTTATATTGCCTATCCCCTTTGAAAATGAAAATCTTGAATAGTAGGATTTTTCCCTCCATCGTTTCCTTTTTCTAGCTAACACTCTCAGCCGATTTCATTATTCTTGGGTCTTTGGAGAACTCTGTCATTCTTACTTCTCTTATGCAACTTCTGCTTTTATTTCCATTTTTAATTTTGTTTATGCTTACTTCTCTTATGCAACTTCTGCTTTTATTTCCATTTTTAATTTTGTTTATGCGTTCATGTTAGGGAAATGTTTGCCTTTGACATAATTTTGCTGCTTGTATTCACAAGGATAAACAACAAAATTGATTTTGAAGTGTAGTTTATGGATTAATTTTAAGATGAGATCTTCAAACTTGGCAACTTTATGACTTGTGGACTTCAACTCCCAGAATTCTGGGAGTTGAAGTCCACAAGTATTAAAGTTGCCAAGTTCTGGGACCCCTGTTTTAAGATGTGAATAACTCAGTGTGAACCCTGGAAGTGGGTTAAAGACAGAACTGGAAGTCATCAAGCCAGGAAGTTGAAACCATTATCAAACCAGGCTCTGCTTGCCTGGAAGGATTTTCCTGTCCAAAGGGAACATTTTATAATAAACCCTGCTGTTAATTGTCCTGTCACTTTGCTCTCAAATACACATAGTTTATATCAGCAGTCATGTCCATTTCTTCTGTACTTTATTTCCTAGTGGAATTACGGTCATAGCAGATTGGCTCTACATGGGTAATGAACAATATTCTGATCCAGAATGCAGTAGCAATGCACACAGTTTGCAATGCATTGATATTTATTGATATGACACCATTTTTGTACACGATGCCCCGGCCTCTTGTAGATTTCCAAATGCATTTGAAGATGCTGGTTACCACCTTTAAAATCCTGCATGGCATAGAACCATCCAATGGTTTCAACAATAGGATCCAGGAGACAGGCCTTTGTTGGAAGACTTACGAAACAGCTTCCCTCTAAGAGTGGATAGCCTGATCCTATTGACCTTCTGGAAGGTTGCAAAGACCTGGTTTTCCCCTTAGGCATTGATAGATTGATTATGTGCCATCAACTCAGTATTGTCTCCTAGCAACCACATAGATAATTTTCCCCCATCATAATCTATCCTTAACATGGTGTTTCACGTCTTCCAAAGTTATACTTATCGCCACTATAACTGAGTCCATCCTATTTGTTACTAGTCATCTTATTTCTTTCCATGTTTCCCAGCATCTTTCTTCATTGTTCTTGGGAAAGTTTAGCAAATTGAACCAAATTATACTCTGCTTAACTCAAAACTTTAGATTTTTATATGTATCATCTAAAGCTACATTTCCAGAATTCTGTGGGCTATCAGTCTTTGAATTTAATTCATTTAGAGCAGTGGTTCTAAACCTTTCCAGTGCCGCGACCCTTTAATACAGTCCCTCATGTTGTGGTGGCCCCCAACCATAAAATTGGTGTCTATATGTGAAAATATGTGTTTTCCGATGGTCTTAGGTGACCCCTGTGAAAGGGTCATTTGACTCCCAAAGGGGTCCCGACCCACAGGTTGAGAACCACTGATTTAGAGGATGCATCTTGAGATTATCAGAAAAAATATTTTTCAATATTGGTTTTGCGCGTGCACAAAACCTGCTCATAGTAGTATGTTTAAGATACGCGTAAGAATTTGCTTCAGTCTATCTGTTAGTCCTCCTGTCATTGTATGCAGATACATGGGATGTTGTTCCTTTGCAGGTGGTATTGGCAAGCAGAAAAGAAGGAACCTTATGTAACTTTTATGAAGAAAAACTACCCTCCTGGATTCACTTACGAAGATTTCGGCCCTATGTTTACAGCTGAGTTCTTTGATGCCAACCAGTGGGCAAATATTCTGAGTGCTTCAGGTGCCAAATACGTTGTCTTGACTTCAAAACATCATGAAGGTAAAGTGACCATAGTTCCTTTGGATCTCAATTGGCTCAGTTTAGTTATTTTACCAGATGAAAGGCTTGGGTAAGATATCTTCATTATATTCTAAATAAAAAGATGACTGAAAGTAATGTTATAATGCTAAGCCAGGATGATGACGATGATGAGAGGAGGAGCAGGATGCAATGAAAGAAATCAGTCAGAAGGTAGCAGTAGCCATATCTTAGAAGCTAAGTTGAATTGGCTCTGGTTGACATTTGGATACAGAATTACTGGAAAATCTCAAAAGTAAAAAAAAAAAATCATGGACGAAAGCAATGGCAAGCCATTTCTGTAACCCAACCAAAAAGGATTCCAGTTCAATATCTTTACATCCTTCTACAGAAAAAGCCAAAATGGTTTGGTTTGTGTAATAATCTGTAAAGGATGGAGTTATATGTCATGATGGGCCCGGAATAAACATATTGTGTGCAATGTTCCTGCTAATTTTTTTTCAGTGTGTGCGGAAAAGTATAGTGTTTGAGCGGCACATTTTCATGTCTGAGCACCTGAATTTTTTTCACAGATGTTTCACAGAGCAATTGATTTATAGGATCTGAATTGGAATGGAGAAAAATGGTTTTGTGCATGAGTGTGTGTGTGCGTGTGTGTATTTGAGTGAGCGAGGGATCCGGTAAGGGAACTGTGCCTATTTAGAAAAGAAGGTAAATTATTGCAAACATGATCAGTCGAAGGTAAGTATGGGAAGAGGTTGGGCAGTAGAGAGTAAAGAGAAAGTGATAGAAGAGTGGG